AAATACCTAATGGTCATTTATAATTAGCCACTGCACCTGTTATATTTCTGCCTTCTATGTGATAGGGTGAAAGTTGCAAAATCGGCTACTTACGGTGGAAAATAATTTCAACATATATCCGTACAATAAATTAAACCCAAAAGACCCACCCACCCACTCATTCACCCACTCTATACGTGCCACAGGAGTTAAGTATGACTCGGGTCTGCTGAGGCATCTACCATTGCTTGGTGTAGTTACACCGTTGCTGTGCATTTAAGAAGGGAGTTCAATGTTAAATGTGTTGACTGTTATATTTGTGGATGTTACAGCTTTATCCTGTGATGGATCCATCTCCACCCGGTTGTGAAGGTCACGCTCATTAAACGTATAACGTTCAGATGATCGACTGCGTTTATGAGCCAGGGTTCATGTGTAATGAGGCGAGCTCGTTGACTGCAGCTTCGCACTTGTGGAATTACAGAGGCTTCAAAGCAAACGCCTTAATTTCAAGGATATATTTATTGAATTTGGAATTGTCATTTTGTGTTTAAAGCCACAGACAAAAAAAGCAGGATTAACATTTGTACTTATTATGACATTAATGATCAAAAGGGATATATAATGCTTTTAACTGTAATACATGGTTATCGTTTATGATAACAAATTCGAATATCGAATATTTTTAAAAGACATAATAGATATTTATGTTTACCATGCACCACACCCAAATGTCATCTTTCGGCGTTCTGTGACGTCGTAAAAGTGGCACAATCAACACCTCATTCGCTAAAAAAAGCCTTGATTTCAAGGACATGTTAATGTGATTTGGAATTGTCATAATAATTGTCATAATTCATCATGCAAGTATTGCGTTTAAGGCCATACACCAAAACAGGAATAAAGTGTGGTCTGTTTTATAACATTGATTATAAAAAAGTAAGAAAAAAAAGGAAAAATGAAGGCCTTTAACTGAAATAAATGGTTTATGACTAAAAACATCGAATATCTAGCGTTTTTTAAATACCTAATGGTCATTTATAATTAGCCACTGCACCTGTTATATTTCTGCCTTCTATGTGATAGGGTGAAAGTTGCAAAATCGGCTACTTACGGTGGAAAATAATTTCAACATATATCCGTACAATAAATTAAACCCAAAAGACCCACCCACCCACTCATTCACCCACTCTATACGTGCCACAGGAGTTAAGTATGGCTCGGGTCTGCTGAGGCATCTACCATTGCTTGGTGTAGTTACACCGTTGCTGTGCATTTAAGAAGCGAGTTAAATGTTAAATGTGTTGACTGCTATATTTGTGGATGTTACAGCTTTATCCTGTGATGGATCCATCTCCACCCGGTTGTGAAGGTCACGCTCATTAAACGTATAACGTTCAGATGATCGACTGCGTTTATGAGCCAGGGTTCATGTGTAATGAGGCGAGCTCGTTGACTGCAGCTTAGCACTTGTGGAATTACAGAGGCTTCATAGCAAACGCCTTAATTTCAAGGATATATTTATTGAATTTGGAATTGTCATAACAGTACATTCAACATGCGCATTTTGTGTTTAAAGCCACAGACAAAAAAAGCAGGATTAACATGTGTACTTATTATGACATTAATGATCAAAAGGGATATATAAAGCATTTAACTGTAATACATGGTTATCGTTTATGATAACAAATTCGAATATCGAATATTTTTTAAAGACGTAATAGATATTTATGTTTACCATGCACCACACCCAAATGTCATCTTTCAGCGTTCTGTGACGTCGTACAAGTGGCACAATCAACACCTCATTCGCTAAAAAAAGCCTTGATTTCAAGGACATGTTAATGTGATTTGGAATTGTCATAATATTGTCATAATTCATCATGCAAGTATTGCGTTTAAGGCCACACACCAAAACAGGAATAAAGTGTGGTCTGTTTTATAACATTGATTATAAAAAAGTAAGAAAAAAACAGGAAAAATGAAGGCATTTAACTGAAATAAATGGTTTATGACTAAAAACATCGAATATCTAGCGTTTTTTTAATACCTAATGGTCATTTATAATTAGCCACTGCACCTGTTATATTTCTGCCTTCTATGTGATAGGGTGAAAGTTGCAAAATCGGCTACTTACGGTGGAAAATAATTTCAACATATATCCGTACATTAAATTAAACCCAAAAGACCCACCCACCCACTCATTCACCCACTCTATACGTGCCACAGGAGTTAAGTATGGCTCGGGTCTGCTGAGGCATCTACCATTGCTTGGTGTAGTTACACCGGTGCTGTGCATTTAAGAAGGGAGTTAAATGTTAAATGTATTGACTGTTATATTTGTGGATGTTACAGCTTTACCCTGTGATGGATCCATCTCCACCCGGTTGTGAAGGTCACGCTCATTAAACGTATAACGTTCAGATGATCGACTGCGTTTATGAGCCAGGGTTCACGTGTAATGAGGCGAGCTCGTTGACTGCAGCTGAGCACTTGTGGAATTACAGAGGCTTCATAGCAAACGCCTTAATTTCAAGGATATATTTATTGAATTTGGAATTGTCATAACAGTACATTCAACATGCTCATTTTGTGTTTAAAGCCACAGACAAAAAAAGCAGGATTAACATGTGTACTTATTATGACATTAATGATCAAAAGGGATATATAAAGCTTTTAACTGTAATACATGGTTATCGTTTATGATAACAAATTGGAATATCGAATATTTTTAAAAGACGTAATAGATATTTATGTTTACCATGCACCACACCCAAATGTCATCTTTCGGCGTTCTGTGATGTCGTAAAAGTGGCACAATCAACACCTCTTTCCCTAAAAAAGCCTTGATTTCAAGGACATGTTAATGTGATTTGGAATTGTTATAATTGTCATAATTCATCATGCAAGTATTGCGTTTAAGGCCACACACCAAAACAGGAATAAAGTGTGGTCTGTTTTATAACATTGATTATAAAAAAGTAAGAAAAAAAACAGGAAAAAGGAAGGCCTTTAACTGAAATAAATGGTTTATGACTAAAAACATCGAATATCTAGCGTTTTTTAAATACCTAATGGTCATTTATAATTAGCCACTGCACCTGTTATATTTCTGCCTTCTATGTGATAGGGTGAAAGTTGCAAAATCGGCTACTTACGGTGGAAAATAATTTCAACATATATCCGTACAATAAATTAAACCCAAAAGACGCACCCACCAACTCATTCACCCACTCTATACGTGCCACAGGAGTTAAGTATGGCTCGGGTCTGCTGAGCATCTACCATTGCTTGGTGTAGTTACACCGTTGCTGTGCATTTAAGGAGTTAAATGTTAAATGTGTTGACTCTTCTATTTGTGGATGTTACAGCTTTATCCTGTGATGGATCCATCTCCACCCGGTTGTGAAGGTCACGCTCATTAAACGTATAACATTCAGATGATCGACTGCGTTTATGAGCCAGGGTTCATGTGTAATGAGGCGAGCTCGTTGACTGCAGCTTAGCACTTGTGGAATTACAGAGGCTTCAAAGCAAACGCCTTAATTTCAAGGATATGTTTATTGAATTTGGAATTGTCATAACAGTACATTCAACATGCGCATTTTGTGTTTAAAGCCACAGACAAAAAAAGCAGGATTAACATGTGTACTTATTATGACATTAATGATCAAAAGGGATATATAAAGCTTTTAACTGTAATACATGGTTATCGTTTATGATAACAAATTCGAATATCGAATATTTTTAAAAGACGTAATAGATATTTATGTTTACCATGCACCACACCCAAATGTCATCTTTCGGCGTTCTGTGACGTCGTAAAAGTGGCACAATCAACACCTCATTCGCTAAAAAAAGCCTTGATTTCAAGGACATGTTAATGTGATTTGGAATTGTCATAATAATTGTCATAATTCATCATGCAAGTATTGCGTTTAAGGCCACACACCAAAACAGGAATAAAGTGTGGTCTGTTTTATAACATTGATTATAAAAAAGTAAAAAAAAACAGGAAAAATGAAGGCCTTTAACTGAAATAAATGGTTTATGACTAAAAACATCGAATATCTAGCGTTTTTTAAATACCTAATGGTCATTTATAATTAGCCACTGCACCTGTTATATTTCTGCCTTCTATGTGATAGGGTGAAAGTTGCAAAATCGGCTACTTACGGTGGAAAATAATTTCAACATATATCCGTACAATAAATTAAACCCAAAAGACCCACCCACCCACTCATTCACCCACTCTATACGTGCCACAGGAGTTAAGTATGGCTCGGGTCTGCTGAGCATCTACCATTGCTTGGTGTAGTTACACCGTTGCTGTGCATTTAAGGAGTTAAATGTTAAATGTGTTGACTCTTCTATTTGTGGATGTTACAGCTTTATCCTGTGATGGATCCATCTCCACCCGGTTGTGAAGGTCACGCTCATTAAACGTATAACATTCAGATGATCGACTGCGTTTATGAGCCAGGGTTCATGTGTAATGAGGCGAGCTCGTTGACTGCAGCTTAGCACTTGTGGAATTACAGAGGCTTCAAAGCAAACGCCTTAATTTCAAGGATATGTTTATTGAATTTGGAATTGTCATAACAGTACATTCAACATGCGCATTTTGTGTTTAAAGCCACAGACAAAAAAAGCAGGATTAACATGTGTACTTATTATGACATTAATGATCAAAAGGGATATATAAAGCTTTTAACTGTAATACATGGTTATCGTTTATGATAACAAATTCGAATATCGAATATTTTTAAAAGACGTAATAGATATTTATGTTTACCATGCACCACACCCAAATGTCATCTTTCGGCGTTCTGTGACGTCGTAAAAGTGGCACAATCAACACCTCATTCGCTAAAAAAAGCCTTGATTTCAAGGACATGTTAATGTGATTTGGCATTGTCATAATAATTGTCATAATTCATCATGCAAGTATTGCGTTTAAGGCCACACACCAAAACAGGAATAAAGTGTGGTCTGTTTTATAACATTGATTATAAAAAAGTAAAAAAAACAGGAAAAAGGAAGGCCTTTAACTGAAATAAATGGTTTATGACTAAAAACATCGAATATCTAGCGTTTTTTAAATACCTAATGGTCATTTATAATTAGCCACTGCACCTGTTATATTTCTGCCTTCTATGTGATAGGGTGAAAGTTGCAAAATCGGCTACTTACGGTGGAAAATAATTTCAACATATATCCGTACAATAAATTAAACCCAAAAGACCCACCCACTCATTCACCCACTCTATACGTGCCACAGGAGTTAAGTATGGCTCGGGTCTGCTGAGGCATCTACCATTGCTTGGTGTAGTTACACCGTTGCTGTGCATTTAAGAAGCGAGTTAAATGTTAAATGTGTTGACTGCTATATTTGTGGATGTTACAGCTTTATCCTGTGATGGATCCATCTCCACCCGGTTGTGAAGGTCACGCTCATTAAACGTATAACGTTCAGATGATCGACTGCGTTTATGAGCCAGGGTTCATGTGTAATGAGGCGAGCTCGTTGACTGCAGCTTAGCACTTGTGGAATTACAGAGGCTTCATAGCAAACGCCTTAATTTCAAGGATATATTTATTGAATTTGGAATTGTCATAACAGTACATTCAACATGCGCATTTTGTGTTTAAAGCCACAGACAAAAAAAGCAGGATTAACATGTGTACTTATTATGACATTAATGATCAAAAGGGATAAAGCATTTAACTGTAATACATGGTTATCGTTTATGATAACAAATTCGAATATCGAATATTTTTAAAAGACGTAATAGATATTTATGTTTACCATGCACCACACCCAAATGTCATCTTTCGGCGTTCTGTGACGTCGTAAAAGTGGCACAATCAACACCTCATTCGCTAAAAAAAGCCTTGATTTCAAGGACATGTTAATGTGATTTGGAATTGTCATAATAATTGTCATAATTCATCATGCAAGTATTGCGTTTAAGGCCACACACCAAAACAGGAATAAAGTGTGGTCTGTTTTATAACATTGATTATAAAAAAGTAAAAAAAAACAGGAAAAATGAAGGCCTTTAACTGAAATAAATGGTTTATGACTAAAAACATCGAATATCTAGCGTTTTTTAAATACCTAATGGTCATTTATAATTAGCCACTGCACCTGTTATATTTCTGCCTTCTATGTGATAGGGTGAAAGTTGCAAAATCGGCTACTTACGGTGGAAAATAATTTCAACATATATCCGTACAATAAATTAAACCCAAAAGACCCACCCACTCATTCACCCACTCTATACGTGCCACAGGAGTTAAGTATGGCTCGGGTCTGCTGAGGCATCTACCATTGCTTGGTGTAGTTACACCGTTGCTGTGCATTTAAGAAGCGAGTTAAATGTTAAATGTGTTGACTGCTATATTTGTGGATGTTACAGCTTTATCCTGTGATGGATCCATCTCCACCCGGTTGTGAAGGTCACGCTCATTAAACGTATAACGTTCAGATGATCGACTGCGTTTATGAGCCAGGGTTCATGTGTAATGAGGCGAGCTCGTTGACTGCAGCTTAGCACTTGTGGAATTACAGAGGCTTCATAGCAAACGCCTTAATTTCAAGGATATATTTATTGAATTTGGAATTGTCATAACAGTACATTCAACATGCGCATTTTGTGTTTAAAGCCACAGACAAAAAAAGCAGGATTAACATGTGTACTTATTATGACATTAATGATCAAAAGGGATAAAGCATTTAACTGTAATACATGGTTATCGTTTATGATAACAAATTCGAATATCGAATATTTTTAAAAGACGTAATAGATATTTATGTTTACCATGCACCACACCCAAATGTCATCTTTCGGCGTTCTGTGACGTCGTAAAAGTGGCACAATCAACACCTCATTCGCTAAAAAAAGCCTTGATTTCAAGGACATGTTAATGTGATTTGGAATTGTCATAATAATTGTCATAATTCATCATGCAAGTATTGCGTTTAAGGCCACACACCAAAACAGGAATAAAGTGTGGTCTGTTTTATAACATTGATTATAAAAAAGTAAGAAAAAAACAGGAAAAATGAAGGCATTTAACTGAAATAAATGGTTTGACTAAAAAAATCGAATATCTAGCGTTTTTTTAATACCTAATGGTCATTTATAATTAGCCACTGCATCTGTTATATTTCTGCCTTCTATGTGATAGGGTGAAAGTTGCAAAATCGGCTACTTACGGTGGAAAATAATTTCAACATATATCCGTACATTAAATTAAACCCAAAAGACCCACCCACCCACTCATTCACCCACTCTATACGTGCCACAGGAGTTAAGTATGGCTCGGGTCTGCTGAGGCATCTACCATTGCTTGGTGTAGTTACACCGGTGCTGTGCATTTAAGAAGGGAGTTAAATGTTAAATGTATTGACTGTTATATTTGTGGATGTTACAGCTTTACCCTGTGATGGATCCATCTCCACCCAGTTGTGAAGGTCACGCTCATTAAACGTATAACGTTCAGATGATCGACTGCGTTTATGAGCCAGGGTTCACGTGTAATGAGGCGAGCTCGTTGACTGCAGCTTAGCACTTGTGGAATTACAGAGGCTTCATAGCAAACGCCTTAATTTCAAGGATATATTTATTGAATTTGGAATTGTCTTAACAGTACATTCAACATGCGCACTTTGTGTTTAAAGCCACAGACAAAAAAAGCAGGATTAACATGTGTACTTATTATGACATTAATTATCAAAAGGGATAAAGCCTTTAACTGTAATACATGGTTATCGTTTATGATAAAAAATTCGAATATCGAATATTTTTAAAAGACATAATAGATATTTATGTTTACCATGCACCACACCCAAATGTCATCTTTCGGCGTTCTGTGATGTCGTAAAAGTGGCACAATCAACACCTCTTTCCCTAAAACAAGCCTTGATTTCAAGGACATGTTAATGTGATTTGGAATTGTCATAATAATTGTCATAATTCATCATGCAAGTATTGCGTTTAAGGCCACACACCAAAACAGGAATAAAGTGTGGTCTGTTTTTTATTATAAAAAGGAAGAAAAAACAGGAAAAATGAAGGCCTTTAACTGAAATAAATGGTTTATGACTAAAAACATCGAATATCTAGCGTTTTTTTAAAATACCTAATGGTCATTTATAATTAGCCACTGCACCTGTTATATTTCTGTCTTCTATGTGATAGGGTGAAAGTTGCAAAATCGACACCTATTTTTTGTATTATCCTTCCACTTACTACCAAACCATATAACTGTTAAATGTAACTTGTACGGTAAATGTAAAGAAAAAAATTACGTAGTGTACAATACTGTATACGTACCCATATATAATACTGTACAGGGTAGACCAAATGTCTTGTAACCCCCCATTTTATTCTCTAAATTTTTTTTTATTAAAGATTGATTTTAAACGGAAATTAGTATGCAAAGGGAAAATGTTAGGGGTCAATTAATTGGGGGTCACGAAGACATCGGTACCACACTTTACAGTACTGTACACTGATACTGTGTACATTATTGTACAGTATTCTACACGTGGTATTATTGTACATAGTATCCGTGTACAGTTGTGTACACTACAGGGAGACAAATCGCAGGTGCCTAAATTTCGCTGCCTCCTCACTGGAGGCTGGGATCACCGCGTGGCCGGGGACCCGCGCTGTGCCGCTTGGGAGACGAGATGGAGACAAGGTGTGTTCTTCTAGGGCAGCAGCATCATCGCGAGCAGTGGCGTTTTCGAGCCACAGGTGGGCGCGATCGGCGAAATGTACCTCATTAAATTTGGCGCAAAAACACACGTGGCACCGTTCTGGCACGAATCTGTCACTCAAAGTGTCATCGTCACACTCAAAATTCTCAACAATGTGGAAGGGAAAAAAACAGCGTTACACGAATACCAGGATAAAGACAAGATGCGTCAGCATTGAGGAGAGGGGATGTGGAAGTGAGGTCCAGCAAATGGTTCGGTGGTAGCATGGGGCAGCGGAAATGGATTGGAAATTAAAATATATATGGAGGTGAAAAAAATGAGGTTGGAGGCGAAAATAAAAAGAAGATTGATCTTGTCAAATGATGACTTTGGGAGGCTTTCATCCAGAATTCTTAAGATGATGATTGGACACTGTCGTAATCATCCAATAAGGATGTAATCCATGTTTTCGTTTGGTTCACCATCCCCATTTTAAGGCCCCGTGTACTATTTGATTAACTCTCGAATGGTCGATAGTATGGGCGCAAGATGAAGGTTTTCACATTTGTACATTTTCAACTCGTTTTCTAATGCTGGAAGCAAATCTCTAGACTCAGCAATATCTTTGTGCAATTCTTGAAAGAACCAACGCATGAGCTCATCAAATGTATTATTGCAATGGGCATCGAATTTCCAATGACTGAACTCTGTTTGCTTCGCAGCAGACCACTTCATTTCATTATTTCCCCAAGTGACTGTTGTATCATTTGACGTGAAATGGCAAGGCTCTGCTACTAAATTAGTAGTGTTTTTATAATTTGTATAACCAAGGCCACGTGGTTGGTGACAGGTATGGTGTTTTCTTGTTTCGTCCGCGTTGTTATCGTGTCCACGAGATCCCCAGCAGAGAGCTCCACACCAAAAGCACTTCTCCGTGCAACCTAGACGTCGCATCACTGTTTCATCCATCGATGGATCTGTGAACATCAACTGTGTGCAGTCCACTGTTGACTCTGATTCATTAAGCCCATCTAGGATGCTGTCTTTTAAGACTTTCAAGTCCCACTTGGCTATTTCTTGGTGGTCAAAATAACTTTTGTATTCGACATTCTCTACATCTGTCAAGTAAAGTTGGGTGAAAGTGATAACTTCAGTAACATCTGTACAACTTCCGACTTTCTCAAGAACACGCTGGAGCTCACTTTTAAATGTTTTCTTGCATTGTGTCGTCTCCTTACTACGAGAATGATGATTAATTGTCTGAGTAAACCACCTGTTTATTGCTTGCTTTGGACAACTAAAATGTTGAAGTGCCTCTGCTTTTTCACCGTTATTCACCTGGGAAGCTAAATGCTCAAAGTACTGAAGCCGCACCTTCTCACTATTGGTTGTCCACTGGAGGTCGAGCACAGCTTGGACTTTCTCGGAACTCCCAGCCTTAATTAATTTCTGTTTAATTGCTTCCAGAAGATATTTGGAAATGATACGTCCTTCAGAAGCAGACGAGAAGCCGTGCTGTAGGCGAAGATCTATGAGTGATCGGAATTCCTCCTCTCTTTGTTTCAATATTGAAGTCGGACTGTGCTTTTTTTCCCATTCCTCCTGGCATATGGACATGAGGTGGCCAAATTTCTGAAGAGTGTAGACGTGAGCATCCCATTTGAGCTCGGTGAGAAGTTTCTTATGAAAAACCTTTTGAAATAGATTTAGAATATCTTCTATGTCCGATTTCAGTCGACGAATCATGCCATGTTCAAAGTGGTCCGCTTGTCTGGTACGAAGAATTGACATGGGAATTTTATCAAGCTCATCTTCGAGCCAAGAGAGCTCATTGTCATTCATTATTGTTCGCTTTGCCCACAATATTGTAAAACGTGATTTTTCAAACGCCTCTCTTTGGCCCAAATAACATATCGGCAGTTCATCATAATATCGACTCAAGACATTTGGTGCTGTGCTATACACGTCAGCCATTTCAGTTTTAATTTTATCACAATCATGGATATCACTTTCCTTTGACTTGGCAATTTGTACAAGAGATGCCCATATTTCTTCAACTCGTTGTTCACGTTCAGGCACAGTGAATTTACCAGCTGGCCTTTGACTTAATGCAGCTTTCAAGCTGCGTGTAATCTCCTCCAAAAACTCCACTGAGCAGCCGTGCCGCACAATTGTGGCATCAAGTATTTGTGTTAAAGTCGTCAATGTAGACTCGCGGACATGCTTGGTGTACGCATCAATTGTATTCATCGTTTCATGTTCACACTGTTTTTCTGTAGCATACTCATATAAACTGATGGTCTGTTTTATGACTTCTGTACATCTGTCGCATCCCAAATTATTATAAGCGTCATTTCCACAATTCATTGGCATTGTTTTTAATTCATTCTCAAAGTTTTTTAAAATCAATCTATGCTTTTGACGTTGCTCTTCTGGTGTCCAAAGTGTCACTTCACATCGTATCTGACGTTTCATAGCTTCCACGTGTACGGAAAACGCTCCATCTATTGTTTCCTTTAAGCTGGCAATTCGCTGTCCACGATCTATAAACTCGTAAATTTCCTTTATGTTTTTAAATCGAACAATAAAATTTTCATTTGAGACGCAACTCCAATAGCTCTGTATAAGTGAATGCCAATCCGAGAACAGCATCTTATTTTCTGACTTTTGACATGCGTTTAGGACGGTTTCATAAAGATCCACCACGTCATTGTGGTACTGATCTGACGGTGAGGCACCGGCACTTGCCCCATTCTTGAAGGGACGGAACTGTTTCAGAAGCTCTCTGTTCTGGATTCTGCCAGCTAAGTTTGTCAAGCAATTGACATCTAATATTCCCATGTCAACGTCTTTTTCTTTCGTGAGCTCCAGTGCGTTTTCCAGAGCTTTGCAGAATTGTTCCTGTCCTGAAGAGGTCTTTGATGTGTTTCTCTCTGTCAGATGCTGAACCATGAGAATATCTGGAGACATTTTAGCCTTTTCCAGCCGTGCCATCGCCACAATTGCAATCTGTAGGATCTCAGTCAGATCCCTCATGTACTCCCCGAGGACATTTATGATAGTCAGGTTGCTCACGCTCATTGCAAACGTTGCCAGCATTCGGTCCTTTTGTTCTGCATCATCATCATTCATTTTCTCTGGTGCTCCAAGCCCCTCCGTGTCAATGAGCAGGATTGCATCAGCGTTCAGTGTTTCACTAAGTTTCTCCTCCAGGAACAGCAGCCGCATAAAGAGACCGCGAGTGCAGCGACCAACGGACACTGCGAACTTGCAGGCAAAGAGGGCATTCAGGAGTGTGGACTTTCCAGAAGACTGCAATCCTAGTATTGAAAGAACAAATATGCGCAAATTTGGGAATGCTTTTGTGACGTGTTTGCAAATCGCCGTCAGCCAAGCACCCGGCATTTCTCCAGTGTCGCCGTTTAGCAGCTCAATGGCGTGGCCACTCATTAGCAGCTCGGCGTATGAAGTAGGACATTCCAAAAGAGCTCCACTCTCTCTTTGGCCCTCGTTTGTCAATTCGTATATGTGACCCAACTCACGAAAAAAATGCTCTGGACCAAGAGACATTCGCCCCAACATCTTCATGTTTGCATTGATGTTTTCTTTCATGTTATTAATCGTCAACTTGTTTTGGCCATTCAAGAGTATTTGACGTTGAAGCTCTTCTCTCTCTGCTATGACGGTTTGTCTCAGTTTTGAGGACTCAGAATTCGAGAGCTGTGCAATACTTTGCTCGAGATGAGCCATCGCTTTTAGTCGTTCTGATAGAGGGAGCCTCATAACTTTACAATATAAGTGTATCAGCGTTTGCAGAACACTGTTGCCATTCCATAAATCGTGAGCATTTCGTTCTCCCGATTTCTTCATCTGAAATTGCATGATATTTCTTGTCCCTTGGCAAGTGTTCTCAGTGATGAAATCTATCACACGCTGTGATTGATAGCAGCTAATCCCCTCTGTTAATTGCAGTGTTTTGCCAAGATTGGACATATCTGGCTTAAATGAACGTTTTATTTTGGTTGCAGCTGAGTTTAAGGCCCTTTTAAACATAGCTCGTACTTTTTTCAACGTGTCATCATTTGTGAGCCTCGTCGTGTGAATAACAATCTCTTCTGCTTCATTGCAGTCTTCATCAGGATCCACCATGAGATAATGGATGTTCTCTTGTGAACCAGAGAGTTGGACAAATGTATTCCATTTCTCTTTGAGAAGTTCCCCCTTTTCTGGCATCATAAACACCACGTAGGTTGATGCTAAATTCTTGAAGAACTGGATAACGTCAGGGTATTCAGAGGCATCTCCATGAAGATTGGCCAACAGCACAACCTCGTTCCCTCCACGTGCGTAAAACTGCTGCAGGACGGACTTCCACAGCCCAGCCCCGCAGGTCTCCTCAGTGAGCCAAGTGAACTCGACAGTTCCGTCCAGGGTCAAAGGGCGTCCCCGTCGAGCTCCAGGTTCTCCACACGATGAGAACATGTTCTCCACTGCCATGAGCTGGTTGAGAATCGTGCTTTTCCCGCACGTGCCATTGCCAAGACGAACAGCTAAAATCAGTATGAAAGGACTGGTGAAGATGTCGTTCTCAATTATGACACCTGATCGAACCTCCCACTTTACAGTGTTGCCAGTGATCAGGGGGAGCATCACTTTGTATTCGCCTTTCTTCTCCAGGTTGGGCATCACCAGTGGCAACGCTACTGGGAATTTGCTCAGGATCTGAATGAGATCTTGTACCACAGTGCAATCAGCAGAACTGAGTAGAGCAACCAGACAGTCAAGTCTAGACAATGGAACTTCATTCAACGCCCGTGTCTGTGATGCAAGGGGCGAAGCAGCTGCCTTGCTCGATGTTTTTGCAAAAGTAGGACTTTTGCAGAACTGGCTACTGTGGCATGTTTCCATATCTTCTTGAGCTAGCTCACTGATAATTGCAGCATGCAGAATACTGACTCCCCACATCTTTACGACTTGCATGATATATGGAAGAAGCATGTTCACAATGGCCGACGTTTGACTCATTTGAACATTAGGTTTCTCAACGATTGCAATGACTTTCACGTAATCGGATGGCGTTACCAATGGCAGTGACTTTCCGTACACTAAGTGAAAATCTTTATGCACTATTACTGAGTTTTCTGTACCTGACTTGTTGTGATATGCACCTTCGCTGACATTCTGCGGATACAATTGAAAAGTGCATGGGAAAACATCAAACACATGCATTAGATTATTGACATGCGCACTTTCATATCATGGGTGTTTGTTAAGTAAACTAGATCTTGTATCAGAAGCCACCCAAGTTTCTAACAGTTTTAGCATCATTATGACAAAAGTACCAACAACTCAAACTTTAAAATGTTATGTTATATTTGTTTATATGCTGTTTTCCATTGACTTAATAAAACAAACACAATGGAACATATAACCCACATCAAATTTTGAGGGCCCATAATTAGAAAGCAAATGCTCGTTTTCTAATTTTACATCTGTTGAGAAATTTTGATTCAGAACCTTTTAAAAATTTTACCTTAAAAAAGCAACTTTCATCGTGCCCAACATTCTTGCTCTCACAATTTTGGAGAGAAGCCAAAATAGAAAAGTATTTGGATTGTCGGTTTATTTATTTATTTGATGCTATATGTTGATTGACGATCCTTGAAAATCTCCAAATCTAAACTGTCACACTCCATGTCCCATGTTATAGAGGGGAAAGCAAAAATTGACAAACCTGGTTGTCAAAAGTAAAAATTGTATGCCAACTTTGGATTGTAACCATCCAGGTACAAACTTTCATAGGTTTATGTAAAAATAGATCCCCTGATTTATGAATGTCCCAAAGTAGAAATATTCATCAGATCTTTCTAGTTATAAGCAGAGCCATATGTACAACCCTTTATTTCTTAGCTCTCGCCACTGCTGGCAGAAGGGCCTTCACTATATCGAGCTCTAGACAGCTTCACAGGCTGGTGAAGCTGTCTAGTGCATAGCTCCAGTGGCTTCGTAAGATCAGAAGAGCATTCCAGATGGCCACAGAAGTGCATCTAAAAGTGCGTGATGAGGTAACCGTCTCCTCCGCTGCGAGGATGGTCGAAGTGCGCATGATGGTTTATGCTCCGTGACGAAATCAGCAAGGTATTGTGGTTCAGCTATATGCACAAGCTACCACTGACCTGATTGGCACCAGCTTGGCCATCGCGAAGTGTACCAGGCGCCACGAGCACATGAGCTGTAAACCTTTCATTCTTCATGTGGCTCTCGACGTGCGACTCGCAGATGAACATCTCGCACCGCAGGCAGAACGTCCCCCCGGCTGCCTTTTTTTCATGGCATAATTCGCACGGTTTACCCATCCCGTGTTGTGATATGAGCTGCTCCACGATGTCGACGGCAAATCTTCCCTTGGGCAGAGATCGTGATAACAACGCGGCATGGCACCGCGGGCAGGTGAATTTATCTACCTTCCCCGATTCGTCTATCAGGCACTGGAGGCAGAAAGAGTGGCCGCAGTGTAGGGTGGCAGGGCAGTTGAATTTGTCCATGCAAATGGAACAGTCCGCGTCTTGATGCACCACGCTAGCCATGGCGTTCTTCTCCCAGCAACTCGAACCCAGCGAAATTTAATTCAGCGGAACCTGAGACAGAGTCGAGTGGTGTGTGTTAAACGAGACGTGTAATACAAGGTGAAGGCATAGCCCGGGAATTTCTTGCTCACGCCACTGCTGGCAGAATGGCTCCCATTAAAGGGTACTCTAAAGAAGCGCTCCAGTGGGTATTTGGTTAAAACACCAAACCACCGATCAGCCAACTGTGGTGTATCCATGTATAGTAAAGTACTGGTTGGATAGGGTGGGTGGGGATTCAAATAAAACCCATTATGTGAACTGCCATGCCGGGAGAGCGAATCTGTGACCTCTGGATTCAATGTAAAGTGTGCCAACCATTACACCACCACGGAATATAATGCAGTTCCCGAGATATGAACGCCCGACTTTCAAACATCTGCACTTACCAACAAACCACCAAAAGATATTACTATTTTTAACCATTTGACTTGTGAACGTTCGCTCGTTCTTATAAACCGAACCAGCCGAGCTATTTGTTTGGCGGAGCGATCCTCTGTGGGATGTAATGAGCCCCAGCATCTCGCTGGGACTCATTGCATCCCTTCCAACAAGCAAGGCCGTAATCAGGACTCAAGAAAAGTGAAAACATAAAGCTCGATTTTTTTTTCAGGCGTTTAGATTATTTAGCTGCGATAAATTTCCACGTGATAATAAGCCACTTGGTTGAGTTATCATTTGTGGCCAAGTCGCCTCTAAAAATAGATACATAGCTCAGTAGGCTTCATCCGGTAAGATAAAATAAAAAATAACCTTGTAGACTGTTGAATCAGAATATTTATTTTCATGAGAATATGTATTTATACTGGAGGAATCTGATTAGCTATAAAGTTATGTACAGATAGGGGGAGGTCAGTACATTACAACGACACACAATCCAAAAATCCGATTGGACTGCAAAGTATAGGAATAGTAAACAAATCACTTATATATACAAATAAAACTAAACTATTTTCTTAATCTTAGTGTAGTGAGTCCAACTGAGTCGCAGACGTTGTCTTAGGAGCAACACTATTATTTCACCAACTCAACATAACATAACACAACCTACACTTGGGTGTTGAATGCCCATCGAGCCACACTACGGCAAAACTCGACATGGTTCTCTATCCCGCCCCGGACCACAAGCTGGGTCCCGGACCACGTGGCTAGAGGCTTCTTTAACTCGACGTGGATCTTCGTCACCAGCAACACGAAGAACCGCGAGCCCCTCAAGGGGCACCCTCAGAACACCGGACTCTGCTAATGGGGTAGCGACGCAGCTTCTCGGCAATGTACAAACAATTGGAAGCCGAAAACAATGCACGGTAAAACTCCGCAAAAGATACACTCTCCACCAGCATCAAAAGCTCTCCTCTGTCTACAGCTGTACTTCCAGGAGAAATAGATGCCGCACTGGCGGTAACAAAGGCAGGTAAAATCCGCAAAAAAATATGGGATTTACCCGGAATTCCTAAACACCTTGGCAGCAAAGGAAGAACTTGGCTGGCAATAAAAAAATGCATCGCCGCCAGCAAGCTACCAAGACTTTGGAGAAAAGCAAAAGTAATTCCTCTCCTCAAACCAGGAAAATTTGCTGATGTACCCGCACAGCTACAGGGTAATCTGTGTTCTTTGTACAGCCTACAAGATACTGGAACGAGTACTGCTGCTCAACTCTCTCCTCTCTTGGAAGCCACCATAACATCTGAACAGGCAGGTTTTTGGCCACAACGAAGCTGTTGTGACCAGATCCTCGTCTTGACATCACACATCGAAGCCCGCTTTCAGCATGAACAGAAAACAGTGGCTACGTTCATAGACGTGTCCTCTGCATACGACATGGTCTGTCGCCGAGGACCTCTATTTAAAATCACCAACACCATTAAGTGTGAAAAAACGGTTTGCCTCATCGCCAGTATGCTAATCGGCCGACAATTTTGCGTCCATCTCCGACAATAGATCAGCCACCCACGCACTCTACAAAATGGCCTACCGCAGGGGTCGGTATTAGCACCAACCCTGTTTAATCTGTACACCAGTGACATGCCGGCCACATTAAGCCGCAAGTTCATTTACACAGACGATCTAGCACTGGCCAGCCAAGCGACGACACTCAGTGCAGCTCAAGACATCTTGAACACCGATCTAAAGAAATTCGAAGATTATTACTACTCCTGGCGACAAAAGCCACATGCAACCAAGACAGTGTCCTCAGCATTCTTTCTCAACAATGCAGAGGCAAAAAGTACGCTAAAGGTTGAGTTTTGTGGTAAAACCATCACCCACGACCCACTACAGAAATACCTTGGAGTGGTGCTCGAACGAAGTCTCACTCTCAGGCAACACATTGAGCAGTCGAGCAATAAGATAAAAACCTGCATGCACATTATCCATAAACTGGCGGGAACAAGTTAGGGCTGTGATGCGCAAATACTACGGACTGCCATTCTTGCCCTCGTGCATTTTACGGGAGAATATTGCTCACCTGTGGGGACGTATCGACACACAATTAAACATTGCAATGCGTGCCATCTCAGGTACACTGAAGTCGACACCGACCCAGTGGCTCCCAGTGCTCACCCACATTGCTCCGCCACAAATCTGTCGTGAAGCAGCGGCCGTCGGGGAGTACCAAAACATTAACATTAACCTACACCTTTCGATACATCGGGACATAAATCCAGTGGCGCCTGTTCGCCTAAAATCACGCCACCTCCTTCTGGATCACAGCAGCCTCACTCCACGCCACAAATAAAATGAGGGCGAGAGATGGAAGCAAGTTTGGAATGTGGCCAACGTCAAAAATAAACATCTCATACAGGACCCGACCATCGACCCTCCCGGTTTCAACCTTCCATGCCGCTAATGGTCGACCATCAACTGAATCATGACCGGGCATGGCCGATGCAGCAACCTGATGCACAAATGGCACATCAAAGTTTCAGCGGCTTGCGAGTGCGGCCACGAATTCCAAACCATCGACCACATTGTAAGCAGCTGCTGTCTTCACTCCTTTAAGGAGAAACGGACGAGATCCATCTTTCTGAACGGATAATTCAGTGGATAACAAATCTAAAATTACATTTTTAATCTGTTGCCATGAATCCATACGAAAGAAGAAGACCACCGTTGTGTAATTACCAAAATTGATCACATATTATGGCTGAGAGGCTCGTGTGACCAACACCCCTCCTAACCGCTGTCATCATTCGAGTACTGGACTGGTGCTTGCATACTACACCACCATAAAGGGACAGGACAGGGCCATATACTACCAGCCATTGATGTTGTATAAAGAAAAGTTTCCCTCGCTCGATACCGGTTTGGTTTGTACGATTTTACGTCCAATGTATGGAGTTAACCTCTTTCTAACAAAAATTCGCTCGACTGCGGTGTTAATTCGTTCTACATGCCGCTATGTGGTCAGACATTAGACATCATTTGTACTGTGTGTACAGTGTGTGTACTGTGTGTACGGTGTTTGTTCCAGGGACTGTGTACAGTGTGTGCTGTCTGTACAACGTGTGTACTGTGTTTGGTGTTGGTGTACAGCGTGTACCGTGTATTTTGTGTACAAAGTGTGTACTGCGTGGGCACGTTGTGTACTGTGCACGTACTGTGTGAACAGCGTTTGTGTTGTGTGTTCTCTGTGCGTAGTGTGTGTACTGTGTGAACACCGTGTCTACTGCATGTGCCAACTGTCTCACACACACAGATACATACTGAGATCCATACTGAGATGCACACACATATATAAATACGATATACACCGAGATACATGCACAGATACACACATATAGATATACGGTGTAGCCTGCAGATACTGTCGGGGGAAGTGTTGTTAACCGAGCACATTATTACAAGAACAAGCAAGGCCAACGTCACAATATGGTCAGTCCTCGCTTAACACGTTGCGTTCACACGATAACGCGTTTTCGCTATAGCGCGGTTCTTCCATTCGGGAACACTTTTCGCACAATGCGGAACACGCACCACCAAAATGTGGGACGCGTGCCGTCACAACGTGGTCGACGACGAATTACTTTACTACTGAGCTGCGCAGCTGACCAGTACAGTGATAGAGTAACGCATTGGAGGCGTGTCCTCAGTTATTTGTCCTGGCATCTCAATGCGTGGCACGCGTAGCAGTGCATTGTATCTCGCCAGACGTTATCATTACTACATTATGTATTACTAGTTCATGAAGCCTGTCTTCGTCAGGCAAAGGTTTTCAATAAATATAATAATGAACCTGATGTGATTTTAACACTTTGTATCTACAGACATTAACAACTACTCCAACAAATGAATTTTTTTCGCAACATTGTATATTTCCAGACGTACCTATCGGACACGACTCAATTTAAATATTCCATTTCTTTTCTATTAGAAAGAACAAAAATACTCTATGAGGGGAAGCGCTCATCTTTTAGCATTTTCGAATGCTTCAGATTTGAACATCATAAATTGAAGAATTGTTTTCGTTAAAACCCGCTTTAATCTGAAATTTCTCAAAAACAATCAAATATAGAGCAATGATTATCTAATTTAATTTGCTGTTTAAAGCTCTATCAAATGAAAATAAACCTGCAATCTTATCATTTGAACGCTTTCTGAATGACATGCATACAACTTTTTTATGGGGCACTTAAATTGACATTTTGTGGCCTTGAAATGAAAAATCGCGGAATTTTCAGATTTGTTTCCTGCTATTTGTGTCCTAAAAGCTACCTATGTACCAATTTTTTGCTTTCTGCATTGTCAAGAAGTACCCTATATGTCTTTGAGACGTACATATTAAGATCTTTATAGATAGAACATGGGGCAATTGTTTTCACTTAACGCATTTTTCGCTTAACACATTTTTCACGCACCACTTTTCAGAAACGCATCTACTACTACGACTAGCGTTTCTAACAAAGACTTGGCGTACGCTTGTTGCAAAGGTTAAAGGTGCAGACCTGCAATTTCCTGCTTGCTCACTACGCCACTACTGCTGGCAGGAGGCTCTCTTCCATTCGAGGGGTATAGATGGAGCCCCTCTCTGGAGTGTATTTGTGGGTTCCCCTTCAACGCAGGCCGAATGCACGTCTCGAAAGAGGTGGGAGTTATACGCAAACCTCACTGCATCGCACGGCGCAGATGCGCTTCTGTTGCCATCTGGAACGCTCTTCCTTCTGATATCAGGAAGCCACTGGAGCTGTACTTTTTAATAATTTAGATTAAAAACTAATTTCTTTTGAACGATGCTTTTTGTTTCGTTTGTTGCCCTTCCCCTGCACCTCCGATTAGCACGGTTGGCTACGTGCGGTGCAAAATAATTTTAACATACATACGTTGTTTTGAGATTTCAGAATTTTTCCATAAACAAACAAACAAACGTCCGAAAAAAAAATACAGACAGATAAACAGGCAAACAGACAGACAACAAGCGAGACAAATAGACAGACAAACAGACAGACGAACAAAAAGACAATCAAGTCGGCATAGAGCGGCTTCGCAACTCAAGAACTCAACAACGTACGAGGCTCCGTGGCGATGAGCTGAGGCTCGTACCATGCTGCTCTCCTGCCGAGGTGTCACCACCAAGCAGGAGTGTCCGCGGTGTGGCGTAGAGATCGCCACAGGGCCAAGTGAAGAATGGTAA